TACTTGAGTGGCGGCCCAATGTCCTTCTGCTACCTTAATACTAAACCTATAAATGTAGGAAGTCCTGGGCCCCCAGGCGTGAAGAAAGGGTTCCCGGGATTCACATTTTGACTAAACACTATGACCTGCACTTCAGCTTCCAATTTAAAAATAAACTGTTTACAAGCATTTAAATAAAACATTTGCATGAATATTAGCCCCTATAAGGCACACCATTACAACTATCTCCAGGCTCAAGTGATGGTAGGTCCTTTGGCCGTATAAGGTCCATGTTTGTGTAAGGTTTTGAATATTTTTAAACGGAAGACTGGACTACTTGTAAAGACAGGAAGCAAAGAAAACAGGTTAAGTGGTAGTTCTGAAATTTTATCTCTGGAGATACTTTACTAGAGCTAGTCAAAATCCTTATGGCATTACAATTAATGTAGCAAGAACTCAAAAATAAAATTGTTAAACAAGAAGTGAACAACTCTATCCAAACTTTTTTTTAACTACTAAAAACAGTCCACAATCCGTTTCAGAACATCTTTCCTCCTTTTATATTCATGATATGCTCCTCATTTCCCTCTAACCCTCCACCCACAGTATCCCCAATAAGTCATTATGCCAATTATTGTCTTTCTATACCCACCTATCTTATGCTTCATATATTGGAAAATACACCCCAAAACAGTAAATATATTTTTAAAACCAAAAAGAAAGGACCAACAGCAATGTTAAAATCAACGAGAGGAAAATAACCCACTGTTGAGAAAAAAGTAGGAAATATTGAAAACTAGAATAAATCCAAAATGGGTCAAAAGGGTTATCAAATGGCCAGGTACCACATTTTAACCCAATTGCACATGCCATAATCGAGTTTACAATAGTCTCTGTCTAATAGCATCCTTGACTGTGGTCAGAAGGGATCCACCAGAGGCTTAATCTAGATGGGTAAGGTGCAGATGGATTTTGGACTCCCCTGTCATCCATAGCCTTTTGCAAATGGTGTGTTCACAATTTAACTCTGATACCTTTCCCTCCTTTGGATTTGTATTTTGTTCATCATCATCCTTGGATCACAGCCCAGCGTGCTTCTTCCATGTGGACTTAATTGACACTCACTTAAATGGCTGCATGATTGGATAGAAGCCTTTAAGATCACAGATGCTAGTCTTTTTGATAGGCAGGCACCATCATCTTTCTTCACCACACTTTGTGAAGTGCCTGTACATTTAGTGAGCTCTTCACAAGGGCAAGCATCAAGAAGGGGTATGTAATAAGAACTAATTGTTCTTGGATTGGAGCTAAAATTAAGTGAGAACCCAAAATTCATTCACTTGTCTGTGGATTTTGTATATCTCTGATTTACTCTAGAGGCCACATTAGCAATTTGTGACAGAGAACATTATCAATCATCCCCCTGAGGTAGAATGTAATTCTATTGATAGTGTCCTTAATTTATCCAATGGCATAGAATTTAACATTGTTGAGAAAAGGAAGTTATGCAAGTATAGACTGGTAATGAGCTACAACCCATGAATTGTTGATTTGTACAGATTGAACTCTTAAATGAGTACTGTTTAAATTGACCATGGGGGTTGGTGAGGGGAAATTTGTAGTAACATTCATTCACGAGGGCAGACCCTTGACTTTCAGATGGATACATGTCATAATACAGCAAGGAGGGAATTAAAATAGTAAATATATTTGGTGTAAATATGGTGGTTCTGAGCCACCTTTCATAGGGAACCCACAAAGCAAGGGATCCTAACCAAGGTCCAGCAATTGCCAGTTCCATAGTCTTCAGGTGTCAGTTATCTGTTTCTTCTCACAACAGGGGGTATCAGTCTTGAGTCCAAGGGTTACAGGTAAGTTTAAGGTAAAACCCTTTGAATTTTTCTGGTGTGACCCATGAGGTATGCCTTGTTCCTCAAGGGGACAGAGTCCCACAGGTCCCAGGGTTGCCACAGTTCACAGTACACAGCCTGGGTCACTAAGAGCTGGGTAAAAAATAGGTCAAAAGTGTCTTACCAGGAACATAATACTAGGCTTACTCTTCCCTTAAAATCTATATAATTATTGTGTCCCTTCCCAATGTGAAGTTGCTCCTCCCACTTACCCACCAACAGAAGTATAAATGCCTCCTCTGAAACCTAGATGCTCCCCTCCCCTGATCTTGACCTCACTTTCTTATAAAGTTCCCTTCCCCCTCCTGTGGGAGTGTCTTTTGATTTGATGTGATTTGTGATGTGAATCTGATTTTATCCCATCTAATAATTTTTTGGTCATTTGTTGAAGATCAGTTGCTTGTAGATAGATGCCTATATTTGTGGATTTTCTCTTCTGTTCCATTGGTCTATGTATACTCTTCTCATTGTACCAGTACCAGGCTGTTGAGACTATTGTAGCTGTGTAGTAGGTTGTTAGGTCAGGAGGTGTGAAGTCTTCTACTTTGTACTTCTGTTAGTATTTTATTGGGACTTTAAGCTTTTCCCAGGAGCTCTATCACTGACATGGACAAGAGAAATTTGTGTTTCCTGAAGAAAGGGTAGATTCTGGACCTGGAACAGTTGAGAAGCTCTATTCAGTATTTAGGGGAGGAGGCTGATTCCTCCTGGATGGGTACTTGTGGTCGCTGGAATATGTTTATGCTTTTCAATGCCTTGGAGGTGAAGGAATGGCAGGATATGGAGAAGTCCTGGTGGTCTTGGGATTAATGGGTGTGAATGGGATGGGGTTCATACCTTCTAAGAGTTAGGGGTTTCTGAGAAGGAATTGGGAGGGGGTAGCAGGGCTGTGCCCTGGTCTTGAGATGGCCTGGAGGGAAGAGGTGGAGGGTGATGTGTCTCAGGAAGCAGGCTATAGCTCTGAAATGCCTGAGGCGGTCTAGGGTAATCTAAATGAGGTGTTAGCTAAGAGATGGGGGTATTGCTAACTTGGGCATTGAAGTGGTGAGGGCAAAAAAAGATTTTTAAAAGATCACCATCAGGTGGGCAAGTACTGATCAAAAAGGAGTTATTAGAATAGTGTAAGACTTTATTTTAAAGAAGAGAATATAGAAAGTACAACAACAAAAGAGGAGGCTCTCGAAAGTACATACAACAAAAGAAGAGCTGGTGTCAGAACTTCATCCTGCAGGACAAAGATCTTTTGAGCAGTTGGAGGCAGTGCCTGGAAGTGGGTGATTCGACAGTTTTGGTCTTTTAGAATGGTAGGGCATTAGGCTAGTGTGTTGGATCTGATGACCAACTCAGCTGAAAACCCGTATTCTTTTATATTTAGGCTAATTATCTTAAAGGCATAGACCTAATTGTGGATTAGGTCTGAGGGAGTGGGGTTCACTCTTTTCAGATGATGACAGGGAAGGGGAAGAGGGAGTGCAATACGAGTGTTGCACTGGGGACTTGGAGCAAAGGTGGGATGAGGATATCAGAGAGCAGAGCAGGGGGGAAATTGGAAAAGTTAAGCTTGGGTCCTAATTATGTCTGCAACAAGCTGCCCCTGCAGAGCTGTCTCCTGGAGGCCAGGGAGGCAAGAGATTCTATTGGCTGTTATCCCAGAGATTGGAAAAAAGCAGCTGTGTTGGGCACTAGTAGAGGTCACCCAGCAAGCCTAGAGCCTATGACAAAGGGAAATCCGTTGGCATGTGTTGCTGTTCTTTCACTTTAAGAAACTCGACTCTACTTATTTTTACATTGTGATTCTCAATGCCAGGGAGTGCAGGATTTTCCCTTTTAAAAACTCTCATCACATATCACACAATTTAAAAGTTTAATCATATCTAGAGTTGTACAATCATTACTACAATCAATTTAGAACATTTTCTTCTTCCTGTACTCATTGTTATTCGTGCAATTTTTTTTTAGTGGCAAAGATATGCACAAAGATATCCTTTCTAGTGGACCTCTCTGGAAGTTGCTGAGCAGATCTTCCTGTGCTTGTTTTCTGACAGCCGTCTTGGTGACCCGTGTTCTTTATATTCTTGATTTCTAGTTTTACACTGTTGTGGTCTGAGAAAATGGATTGTAGAATCACAGTGTTTTTACGTTGGTGAAAGCTTGTTTTGTGGCCTATCATGGATCTATGCTGGAGAATGTAGAGGTCACCCAGCAAGCCTAGAGCCTAGAGAAGAAAGTATGTTGTACACTTGTTGGGTGATATACTCTGTAATATGTCTAGGATGTCTGGTTGGTTGTGTTGTTTAGATCGTATGTGTCTTTATTGAATTTCTTAATGTTATAACATTCCTTGATAATGGTATACTGAATTCTTTTAATATTATTGCTGAGCTATTTTTTACTTAAACTCTGTGGGTTTGATTGGTATATTTTGAGGGTCTTTTATTTGGGGCATATATGATGAATGTGTTTATGTCTTCTTCTGTTCCTTTAATCATTATTTAGTATCATTTGCCTCATATTTTTTTGCCTTGAAGTCTATTGTATCAAAGATTTATATTGCCAAAAATGCCTTTTTTTTTTTTTTTTGGCTGTGTAGTTTGGTAAAATTTTCTCCATTCTTTAATGATTCCTGCATCATTCACTTTTTTGCCTATAAAATCTTTCAAGATGGTAATTCGAGGCTTGGATTTTTTTCTTGGGTTCTTTCAGTTTAAAATATGCTGTGTGATCTTCCCTTTTGTGTTACAGTAGGTAAATCTGCTTCACAAGACCACATTAGAGTTTTGAAGAGCAAGAATGCTATTTTGAGGACTAAGGGGTGTCTGACTCAAACCATGATATTTTCTATTGCATCAAATGCATGTGGAATTAGGAGGACCATAGAAGAGTCAATACATTTGAATTGTGGTGCTGAGAAGGAGTTTTGAAAGTACCATGGCTGCTAAAAGTACAAATCACTCTGTGTTGGAAGAAGTTAGACCAGAGTGCTCCAGGAAGGCAAGGATGGCAAGATTTCAACTTACATACATTGGACATATTGTCAGGAGAGACAAGTTGGAAATGGACAGCATGTTTTGTAAAGTGGAAGGGCAACGAAACAAAGGAAGGCCCTCAACAATATGCATTGACACAGGGGCCACATCAATGGGCTCAGGCATAGGAACAATTGTGAGGACACAGGATTGTTCATTCTGCTATACTCAGAATCACTATGGATCAGAGCTGATTTGATGGCTAACAACTAACTAACAACGTGGTAGTACAGTGATTAAAGAACTTAGCTTCTACTTGAAATATTTGAACCCACCAGCCACTCCAGTTGAAATTGATGAGACCATCTGTTTCCATAAAGATTTACAGCTTTTGAACCTGTATGGGGCAGTTATCTTCTATCATACAGGGTTGCTGTGAGTCATAATCAAGTCATTGGTAGTGGGTCTGGTTTGGGATTAGTTTCAGCCATTTCTTAAAATAGGTGTGTGTGTATGTGTGTGCATAATATATTTGTGTATGTGTACACACACACACACACACACACACACACACTCGCATATACCAAATAATCTTCATGAACCAGAACCCAACTTCAGTGATCAATTCATGGCCAATATTTTTCATTGATACTCCCACCCATATCCTCATTATTTTGAAATGCCTCCTAGATGTATCATTTTACCTGAAAATGATTAATACATGTATATGAAAGATAAGAATTCTTTTTATAAATAAGATCACAATTCTTTTATCACCCAGCAGTCTTGTTGCTGTTGAGTCCCTTGGGTGATGGAAAAAGTAAATGCACTCAGATATAACTGAAAGGTTTGAAATTCAAGTCTACCAAGGGGTACCCCAGAAGAAAAACCTTGTGATTTGCTTTCACAAAATATGCCCTAAAAGCCCTATCAGGTTCCGTTCTACTTAGGTACACATGGAATCACCATGACTATGATCACTTAAAAAATGTTTTTAGCAAAAATTAATATCTCATAATTGCCTGATTACGACAAGTATGAATTTTCTTGAGATCAATTAAACTTTATAATTGAACACTTTAGGAAGAAATAATGTATTTACAGTTGACTTTTCTTATTCAGTGTCATATTATGTATTCCAAAAATAGTAATATCTAGAAATACAGTTGAATAATAGCATCTTCTTCTAAATACAGATTTGCTATTCAGCACAACAACATGACTCAGCTTCAAAATCTGTCAATTCAACTTACTGCTATCAAGCTGATACCAACTCATAATGACCTACAGGACAGGGTAGAACTTCCCTGTGAGTTTCTCAGACTCACAGGAATAGAACTCTTTTCGGGAATAGAAAGCCCTGTCTCCCATGGAGCGACTGGTGGTTTCAAACTGCTGACGTTAGGAATCAACTTATAGCCACTACATCATAGTGAATTTGTTTTCATATTTATTAGTAAAGTCCATTCAATTTGTGTGTGTGTAGAAAGTATGAACCACATGGAGGTTTCCCTCCCACGTCCTATTTTTAGCCATGTGGTGCTGTGCAGTAAAAGGAATAAGAAAACGTGGATATTCTTGGCCTGCAGACATGACCTCCAACAGAAGCTGTTCTGAGGCAGACTAGCAAAAGAAACTCCATTTTTGTAAGCTGCTAAGTAACTTGCCCTTTTCTCCCTCTCACCTCAGGAAGTGGACTGCTTGTTGACCTGCCCATTCTCCCTCCCCTGATGGGAAAGTCTCTGCTGGGGATTCATTTTAGAATGTACCCCCATGTTCCCAGGTTCTGGACAGTACAATTCGTTTTGACTATTCTTCAATATAGAGTTTGTTCTGATTCTATATTGTTCCCTTTGATGTTGTAATCTGAATGGTGTAGTTAATCTTATCATGATAACCAGGATGTTACAATAAAATTTTATTATGGTAACCAGGATGTTCTAATTAATTTTGGTATTGTTTCTTTTATGATAAGAAATGTACCTTGTAATGCCTGCTTACTCTTCTTGAAGTTACAATTAATCCATTAATTTTGCTTTATGCTTCTGTTCATGCTTGCTTGAACCCTAGACAGGTGATAAATGAGGTTTTTGGCCTTAAAGATGGACTGAAATGTGGACTTGGGACTGCAGTCAAAGAATTGCGTTCAGATTCTAGCAGTCTGGTTATAACCGAATAAAGACTCTTTTAAGTTATCAATACATTATAGTTTCTGTCATTTATTAGATCTGATTAACTGGGTTTCCATGAACCCTGAATCTATATAAACAAGTGTAGTTTGGGTGCCCCCAGTTGCTGAGGATTTTCAGTTTCACACATAACAAAGATTCAGAAGCTTCATGCTGAAAATCAAGAAAAGATCAATTAAATGCCTTGAAAAAAAATCTTTTAGATTGAATTGTGCACTCTGAAAAGATAATTGAGTTAAAATCCCTGTGCAATGGAATGCAACTTTGTTTGGGGAAACAGCATTTTCCTTTGTCGATGTTACCAGTTAACAAACCATACTGGAGTTGAGTAGTTCTTAAACCTAATCTATCCTGCATATCTTACAACCCAGAAGAGCAGACATGGAAACAGTAACACACATGAAGGAAGATAGAGTAAGTAGCAAAGGAACACCAAAGATTGCCAACATCCACTAGAAACTAGGAGAGAGGCATGGAATACTTCATCTCTTAAAGACCCCAGAAAGAATTGGCTTAAGTGAGACCCAAATTTGAACTTCTAACCTCTAAAACTGTGAGAAAGTATGTTTCTGTTTTTTAAAGCCACCCAGTTTGTGATATTTTGTTATACTAGCTAAGCAACTGAGACACTATCTCAAGGAATCCCAGTGAATGTTGGGGATAAAGGGAATGAAAACTTGTTTCTTTCCAGCACAAATACATTGAAATACTTCATTAGTGGATGAGAAAAAATTACTGGAAGTAAAGAGTCCAAAACAAATATAGGACAGGACAAAAATAAATAGAGGGGAGGAAGGTAATATAGCTATCTGGATATCCAAGTCCCTCATCCGTGCAGCCATCGGAACCCATAGTTGCTTTGCTGGGTAAGCCAGGGATGAGGAGATGGACAGAATTTTTGTGTGTGCGAGAAAGAGAAGTAGAGAGAAAACACATCGCTGAAGTCAAATAGAAAACCTATATGACCATTGCATATCAAAAAATATATACTCCAATTAGAAACTCTGTAAGTACATTCATTTACAACACATGTTTTTTATGGTTTGGATTTTCTTATAGATGGCCACAAAGGTCCACTGAATTCTTATTTTTACATGATATAAAATGCATTCTATACCTCAGATACTTCCTATGCAAATGAGAAATAATAAAATTATTTTACACCAGTTATTGAACTTTAGAGGTTTATAAGTTAATTGGAATTCTCCATTTGACTGGGAAAAGAAGTTTTTCTCATATTTCTAGTTTAAATACTTATTATCTTTTTCTGAGTTTCTCTTTGCCTCTAACAATTTTATATTACACTATCATTTTTACTTCCTTTAACCAAGGAAGATGGAATACTGACTATGATGGCTACGTTGTGCTTTAACTTGACTGGGCCATTATCCTCTGCTTTGGGAGTAGCTGTGTCATCTCTCGTGGTTAGACATACTATGTATAACCAGTCAGTTAAAAAGGAGGTTCCTTGATGATGCTGTGGCCTATAAGGGGGTACCCCCCCCCAAATAAAACAAAACAAAAACAAATGGAAAAATGCTCCGTTAGGTGGAGCTTTCGTAGTATACATTTTTCCTGCTAGGCAAGCATCCAGTAACTTTCTCTGAGTTAGTGCACCCAGTGGTGTTGCCTGGGAAAGGTCTCTCTGGTCACAGTGAATTTTTTTGTGAAAGCAGTTTCACTCGAACTTCACTTTTGGCGATGGCCGATTTAAGAGAACAGCATGTGGCTGTGAAATTTTGTTTCCTGCTCAGGGAAATTGCCACAGAAACTGTTGTGATGTTGAACACAGTTTACAAGGACAACGCTATGGGGAAAACTCAAGTGTACAAGTGTTTTTTCTCATTTCAAAAAAGGTGAAATATCAATTGATGACAAACCTTGCTTTGGATTTCCTTCAACTTCTTGAATGAATAAAATGTCAACAAAATTCATGCACTACTGCTGGAAGACAGGAGATGGACCATTGGAGAGATGGGGAAGTTATCTAAACTATCTTGAAGCTTGTCTCAGTGAATTTTAACAAAAGATTTGGGAGTGAGAAGGATCACTGTAAAATTTGTGCCTGAGGTTCTAACTGACCAGGAACAATAACATTGAGTGGAAACATGCTGTGCTTTGGAAGAACAGCACAGAAGCAACACAGACTTTTTCTCCAAGGTCATTATTGGTGATGAGATACAGTGCTATTCTCACGACCCTGAGAGCAAGCATCTATCAAGCCAGCGGAAGACACCTTCATCACCTTGCCCCCCAAAAGCTTGTCAAGTGAAATCAAAGATCAAGATGATAATCATGTGGTTGTTGTTGTTTTTTAATGTGAGGGTGATAGTGTATTTGGATGTGGTTCCACCAGGTCAGACTGTTAAACAAGCTTTCTATTTACAGGTTCTGAGAAGATTGAATAACAGTGTGCGATAAAGGAGGCCTGATTTGTGGCAGACGGGACTGGTTTTGCCACCACGACAATGTGCCTGCTAACACACCCATCTCAGTGCGCCACTTTTTGGCAAAAAACAGCATGCCTCTCTTGCCCCATGCACCTTACTCACCTGACCTCACTCCATGTGACGTTTTTTGTTTTTGTGAATGAAGAGAGGCATGAAAGGATAGCGATTTGACGACATGGAAGAAGTGAAGGAAAAAAAATGGAAGAGGTGCTGTCAGCCATCCAAACAGATGTTTGAAAAATGTTTCCAAATAAGCTTTGAGGGAAAATTCAATTTTTAGGGGGGTACTCCCTCATATATTGAATTTATATGGATGCTTGGCAAAGCTTTCTTTTTTTTTTTTTTTTGCTCGCTCTAGATTGTGCATTTGGCTCACATTTGACCTGTGCTTCTTGGGTCCTAAGCAGATAGCCTACCATATTGCCTGTCCATCTTGGGATTTATTAGCCTCTATAGCTTCTATGTGAGGTAGGAGAAACCTGTGACCTGCTGTCTAACCCCTCAGACTTGGAACTCACCAATCTCTACAATGGTTTGAGCCATTTCTGTGAGATAAATCTTTCTCTAGACAAAAGGCCTTAAATTTTTTTGTGGGGAAAAAAACTATTAGATTGTAATCAAATCTTTTTTTTTTGCCAACATTTTAAAGCTCCCCTGTTTATAATCTTCACTTATTTTGCTTCTCTAGAGAACCCACCCTAAGACTGTGACTATCAAATATTTATATCAAAGGGAGGATATAGTTATGGACTGAAAAATTGAATATATAAAGTGATGTGATAGCAGATGAGGAGGAATTTGACATAAGGCTCTTTTCTTACTTGGTTGTCTTTTGCATAAAAATCTTAATTGGAGCTAAGTATCTAGCACCTAGTGTTACTTAGTTATTATCTTCCTCTGAGTTCAGATAAGCAATTCTTTTTTTTATTTTTATATTATTTTTACCTTTTCTTTTTAAAAAAATCATTTTATTAGGGGCTCATACAACTCTTATCACAATACATACATACATCAATTGTGTAAAACACATTTGTACATTCATTGCCCTCATCATTCTCAAAACATTTCCTCTCCACTTAAGCCCCCAGCATTAGGTCCTCATTTTTCCCCTCCCTCCCTGCTCCCCACTCCCTCATGAGCCCTTGATAATTTATAAATTATTATTTTGTCATGTCTTGCCCT